CTCCCGGGCCGGGCCGGGCCGGGCCGCCCTCTCCTCACCCCACCGCGGACCGGGCCTCAGGCACCCCTCTCCGCTCCTTCCCGCCGCCCCCCGCCTCACCTTCATGCGCAGCAGGTTCTTGGACAGCTTCGTCTTCACCTCCCCGGCCATGGCGGCCGGCGCTGCCCGCAGGCCGCGCTCGATCCCCGCGCTCGCGTAGCAGCCCAGGCCGCACAACGCCGGAGGAGGAGCGGGAGGGGGCGGCGGCGGCGCGGCTCCACCCTCCGCGTCCGGGGCGCGGCCGCAGGGACAGGCCCCTGCCCACAGCCCGGAGTAACGGCGGGGGGGGGGGGCGAAAACAACGTTAAAAACAACTTTCCTCTACAGAGCCGGTGATGGGGGGGTGAGGGAGGTGGGGGGTGTGGGCAGGAGAGAAATCAGACTGGGTACGAAGTGGGAAATTAGTAGGGGAACCGGAGGTTTCTTATCAGCGCTTGGGTGTTCTGTAGTGCTGCCGGCTTACGGTTTCATCCGTAGTTTTCTGATCTTTCAAAGGGGGAAGGAAAGGGAGTGTAAAATCTATCTCATATTGGCATTTGGAGACTGCTTGACCTGTTTAGCTTTCATTTTTTAAAATCAGCACTGACTTGCAAAAAAACCCCCAACCACAAAACGGTCAAATGTGATTAAAACTGGAAAGCACATAAATCCAGATATTGCAAAAAGCTTCAACGCTTTGTTAGTCCCGAATCACGATCTTTGAATTCAGTCTTGGCAGTGCTGTCTTTGGGCTGCCGGGCTGGGCCCTGGTAGCCGAGGAGGAAATCCTGATGTGAAATTGTCAGCTGACTCTCAGTCACAAGCAGGTACCACAATTTCTGTATATATCCTCATAAATCAGATTTCTGACACCTGTTTCAACATTGGGCACATAAACCAGGCAATAAAGCAATAAGAATGAGAGTTCAGTGTTCAAAACTTTAATGAACTGGTGTGCTCCAAAAGACAATCTAGGGAGAAAAGTTCCCGTATATGCAAGATGTAGGTCAAAGCTTGAAGAACTCTGTAAAGATTTATGCTCTAATAGAGTCCACAAAAATGTATAATGAAGGGCACCTGATTGCAGTGGGAAAGGAGGAGGAAGAATTTTCCACATCTAGGCATCCTTATTATACAGTTAAGCTCAGTGAGTTAAAATGGCCACAAATGTGAATGAGACACAGAGCCACAACCACTTTAAGGCAAAGTCACAGCACTGCATGGAAATATTTTATTTTCATATAGGCAAGGCACCTTCATTTCTAGGCTCTGTAAATGAATTGAAGCTGCTCTGAAATTCAAGGCCCCAGCGAGAAAGTCTCTTTGTAGAGTGTGGGAGCTATCCCACTTCGTTTGGCCCCATCGTGTTTAGCTCCTTCTCTGTTCACTTTCTCATTAACAGCTATCAACCCTTCCCAACAAAAGAAGGCTGGTAAGAAATTTGCAGTTTTGTGAATATGAATGCTCATCAGAGAATGAATATGTTTGAATCCTAGTGAAGAAACCAATAGGGGAAAGCTGTTACTTAATATGATGCAGCCATAATCTCACCATTTTTGGTGTTATTTTCTATTTGCTGTACATTCTAATAATGTGTTTGCTTTTTGTTGATCATTGCAATTCAAAGCCCTGCGCTTAATTGCATGGCCTTCAATGTCACTCAGGGCTTTTTCTGAGCAGTTTCAGTTAATTTACAGTCCAGGAACGTACTTCAAATGATTCCTTCTAAATACATTGCTGCATGCCCATCAGCACTTCTCCAGCCGCTGAGCTATGGCAGTGCCTGGCTTTGCTTGGTGCCCTTTGCGACAACTGTTCCCGTCCCCCCTGCTCTGCCCATGGAGCAACCTGGCTCATCAATTCCTGCAGCCCCCTCCTTCAGCAGACTGTGCTTGCAGCCTTTTTTGCATACAGTCCCTGCACATACCAGCTGCCTGACACCTTTGATGTAAAGGAGCATTGATGCCGCCAACCCTTTAATCTTTGGGAACTCACTCTAATAATTTACAATGCCATGCAGTGTCTAACTGGGAGGGGGACAGCGCAAGGGGTTTTCAACTCATCTAACCACGAGGATTATTCCTGGTGCTCCCTGGTAAGCGAGAACTCAGGATCCTCAGCCTGAGCCCCATTGCACCCCATGTCTTGGTGCCGCACCATGGGCTTGCACAGAGCTGCTGCCACTGTTTGTCTTGTGTGTCGGCACATCAGCTAACAACCCGCTTCGACAGAGGCAGGGAGAAGTATTTTGCAGTAAAGGCACTACAGGCTCTGTGATGTTTATTTAGAAAAGTGGAGATTGTAAAAAGGCTGCCAGAGAATTTGATCTATTTTGGCAGTAAAAAAGTCCGAAGGAAATTTTTGGATTACATCTCCCATTGCTTGAATTGGATGGGGAGGTTATAGATAACAATCAGCTGTCTCGTGGACCAGATTATACTGTCTGGTAAATCTGAAGACACTCCATTGATTATAGGAGAAATTTTTATGATTTACTGGTGGTGGTGGAGGTAGCTCAGAGAAGAATCCAGCCCTGTGAATATGCCTGCTTCTGAGGTGGAGCGAGGGTGAGGAGACGAGGTAGGAGAGATGCTCTGTTTAGAGAAGAATGAAGGGTCATTGTAAATGACAATTAAACACCTCTCCCACAGCTCCCACAGCTGCACGGCAGCTCCGCTTTCAACCTGGAAATCCATTTCTTTTTCAAAACAAAAATGCTCAGGGAAATAACTCAGGGGAAAGGAGCTCCATCTCATCAAAGATTGTACATTAAACAAGCAGATAAAAGATTTTTCTTCCTACGAAATGCGGTCCCTTCTCCCTCTTGTAATTACAGCAGTCAAATCAAAGTTGTCATTAACATTATTTAAGAAGTAGTCTCTCTTGGAGCAACACAAGTGACAGCTGTGAACTAATTTCATGCCAATGGGATCTAATTTGAGGGAACTTGTGGGTTACTTTTCCCCTAACCTTTTATTTATTCATATTCTCATAGTATTGTGATTTTAGCACAAAAGGGGTATCTCAAACCTTACACCAACCTATCAGTTGACTTGATTTTTTGTGAGCTGTCTTTGAATTCTGAAGCAGTTTTTTACAGCTCTCAAAATACCTGAAGCCTTTTTTTTCCCCCTGCAAATATCAAAATTCTTATAGTATGACAGGTGAGTCATTAATTTGTGTCAAACTCCTCCACTATGTTTTAAGTGAGGATATTATGTGTTTTTCTCTATGAATGAGGAGAAGAAAATGAGAAGTAGAGCTGCCGGAGGTCTGTTTGCAAACCTGAAAGGAAGGTGTGAAGTGCTGTGTACGACTGGGTGGGATCAGAAAGGCAGTTTTGTACCCCATGCTCCATACAGAAATAGTGTTTCTATTTGAATTTCTGAAATAGAAATTCTCTAAGTGGTAGAAAGGCGTGGTTTTGAAGTGGAGGACTGCGTTTTTTATCTCCCTTGCTCCCACCAAGGTCTGAGCCACTAATGCATGCAGTGTATTGACAACTGCTAAGGTCCTAGGTGACGGGGGATTTGTTACAATATTCATTACCCTTTGATGCATGCATGTATAACCCGCTGGCCCGTGTGCGTTGCTCAGCCTGCTTTGTACCTAATCCACGGAGGATATGGGTTAGCTACAGCTCTTGGCTTCAGCATGTGGCATGTCAGCTCAGACTGCACTGACTCATCCTCTTAGCTTTTGAAGTCCCCTTTTCTGGCATTGGCACTGGTTTAGCTGGCAGCTGACACACGCAGAGTATTTTAAATCCCTGCCCCGTGTTCCTCGGTTGACCCCAAGATTTCCTGTGGTCGGGAACGATGTAGAAAGAACGAAGCAGAAGCCAAACTCCTGTAATTTGGGTAACACAGGTCCATAAGCACAGTTCACATTGCTGATGCTTTCCTTTTAACAGCCTTGTGTGGTTCACAATTTATACAGCGTGAAAAGGTGTGCCTTAAAAATGTGCTTGTAGAAAAACAGAGTTACAAAATCTCCAGAAGAACCAAGGTGTGTCTTTGGAGAAAGTGCCTGTTGTCAGTTTTGGAGAAGACAATTCATTCTGAGTGCTTTTGGCGGTCCCGGTGGCAGGGTGACCTTCATGTGAATAAATACAGTAATTCCTTTTTGATTACAGAAAGAACCAACTTCATAATGGTAGCTCCCTATCTTCTGCCGTCACCTAAAGTGGCGGGGGGAACACACACCGGTCTGTCATTCTGCTGGCATGCAGATAAGCCTAAAAATTTGATCCTGTGTTGCAATGATTTGATATATCCCAGTGCTAGGAGTCGGAGCAAGAGAATTACTGAAGAACGGCGTGGAGCATCCTTCTCTTTGCTTTCCTTTAAAAATCAAGAGGCTTTTAACTTTTTGGATTTGATGGAATCACAATTAAAAGAGAAAAGGAAAATATCACCTTCCGTTTGTTAACTATAAAAATGCAATCCAGCAGTGCTGCTGGTGCTTTGCTATTTCCCAGGTCAATAAATGGCTCCCCTGACTTTAATAAACATTGATGCTGCAGGCTTGTTCTACAGTGATTGAACCTTTTTATAGTTTCAACCACTCACATTGCATGAAAGCTTGAAGATTTTTTTTTCTTTTTTTTTTTTTTCTTTTTCAGGAGGGTTGGTTCTGATTGATTAAATTGTCATTTTCTGAGTTAGTTGCTGAATTATAACTTGGCATTTTTAACCGTGTGATTTGTTTAAAGAGACAGCTTTTTGATATAGCAAACCAGCTGAGAATTTTTAAGCAGTAAAAGGAGATTTTACTCACTTTGTTCTCAGCCTTTCATCACTGCCTGACAAAAATGCTCCTGAAAACAATGTAGAGGCTATGATATGAGGAGAAGGTACTTAGATTCACACTCACTTCTTCTTTATTCCATCATGGAGTTGATCTGTGCAGTATTATATTGCTTTTGATTAGTAGTCGGACACCTCATTGTTGTTAACATGTTTATCTTTCCAAGGAAAAGGGAAGGGAGGGGGAATTAGAGACATAAATGTGAGTGCTACTCAAGGTGATATTAAGTGGCAGAACTGTACTTCAGATCAACTGACTTATCCCTTAATATGCACAATGGATTTCTTTGCACCCAAATGATGGGCTCTGAACACACCTGAGTCAATAACTGCAAATTTTCACCTAAATCCATACTGGGCCTGGTTAAAAGGGACAAAGACC